TTTTTAGAGTTGACTGTCCTCTCTTTGGAAGGCAAGTTGCCTGGTATAAGTGATTACTGGACCCCCACATAAGAAACCATATAGGAACTGACAAACTCTCCAGTTGTCTCAGTGTCTAAAATTTACCATATTTAGGAAAGATTATTGAGAAGGTTGTGGTGAGGTAGCTATAGCAATATCTGCATTCCTCAGATGGTTTCAATCCTTCTCAGTTTGAGGTTTGGCCTTTTTATGGTACGGAGATTGCACTAGTTAATTATCTCCTTCTGGCAATATATGATATCTGTTCTGATTCTTTTAGATCTGTCCTTTGATTCCATTGACTGTGGGTGTTGTGGACCTGCCTATGGAGCCCTGCATGGATTGATGATCAATTTTTTTATGAGGAGATGCTGGGGAAATTGCTCATCTGTCCCAAAGGCACTTTGTAACATTTCCGTTCTTTGGCCCCTTCTCTTCTGCATGAGGAGAAACAAATGGAAGAGATGGCAGAGATTATTTTAGTGCTCCAGTTGGGGGAGTGTGCCAATTGTTCATTTTGCTGGATCACAACTCGGGTGTCACATCTGCTGGATCTCTAACTGTGTCTGGATGGCCAGCTAACAGTAGTTGTCAAGATTTTTTGGGGGGATGGTTGTTTTTCCCCATCTGCACATGGGTAAGAGGATACAACCTTTTTATTAAAGTTGTGGGTTCCCTACAGTTATGTACATGTCATTTCCTTGAGACTGGATTGCCATAATGTGGTCTACATAGGGCTACATGTATTCAGAACATTCAGCCTGTGCACAATACAGTTCTTAATGTTGCTTCACACCACTAGCACAGTATATGTGCCCTCAGATCAGCACTGCCTTCTGATTGCTTGCCTTCGCTTCCAAGGCACTCACTGGAGCAACACGTAAATACTTTTAAAAATCTGAGCCTCAGATACTATGGTGATGATGACCATATAAGTATCTAAATAGGTGCTTTGCAAATGCATTTAGAGGTGTTAGTTTTGACTTATAAGGCCATAAGATGTTTTGGTCCTGAATAACACCACCTCGCTCCTTGTGTGGTACAAAGCCGTTTGATATTGGCGGCGGTCATTGAGCTAACTGCTGCCTGGTTTAAATGGGAGAGGGCTGGTGGTGGGGCATTTTAGTGATAGGACCTTTACTCTGGGACTTGCTCCCCTTTGATATGACAGCTCCCGCATCTGTATTCCATTAGGATAAGTTGCAATGTCTGTCTATTTTCCCAGGTTTTGCAGAAGGGTATATTCAATTTAGCGAGTGATTATTGAGAGTCCTGATCTTTCAGTTAAGAAGGTTCAACCTCTTTCTTACATCAGTGTATTTGATAAGATTTGTAATTGTTTTGACTGTCATCTATCTCATCTTTCTATCTAATTAGTCTAAGGTATTTTTAGGGTATCCATTGCAATAGTATCTTGGTATCTGGCTGTCTAACCATATGGTTAAGGGGCAAAGGTTTCATTACTCTAAATGAGCTGGAGTCAAATCAAGGCCACCCCTTGTGCCAGTGCAGGATGGGCAGCTTAGCAGAGCCCACATTTTGTTCCCCATTCCTCAAAAACTCATCTAATTCATACTGTGCAGGTCATCCAGAGCCACAGAGGAGTGTGCCTTGGCAGGGTGTAGATTTAAGGGAATGGTCTATATATTAAGTGGTCTACCCAGGGCATTTTGGAGGCAAAAGCAAAGAGGGCTGAATTTGGCCCCTTAAACCTGTGTCTCCATCCTCCTACCTTCTTCCCAGCACTTGTTGGGTAGCGCTGTATTCATAAGAAGCAATGTAGTCTAATCACTAAAGCACTGGCCTCATAGTCAGAGACTTGGGTTCTAAGCCTAGTTCCTGACACTGACTTGCTTTGACTTCAAGCATATCACAAAGCCTTTCTCTATCTCTTTCTCCATGTGTAAAATGAGGATAATATGCCTTGCAGGAGTAATGTGAGGCTTAGTTACTTAATGTTTGTGAAACAGTTTGAGGAAAAATGCTAAGTATTTTTGTTATTCATTACACTATGCATTAGCTGAAGAATATGAAATACCTCGGGTGAAATCTTGGCCCCATGGAGGTGAATGACAAAATTCCTACTGGCTTTCATGGGATGAGGATTTCACTCCACATGCTCATTACCAACTTGGTGTTTGCCAATCCAGGGAAGTAGTGTAATCTTCTCTTACTCTTTTCTAGATCATGTTGTGACATTACGCCCCATAGTCTTCATAGAAATATTGTTATGATATGAATATGGGATAACTAAGTTATGTTTTATGCAATATGGGTCATGTGAGGTATCCTTGGAAAGGTTATGATTTGCTGAATGTAATTACCCAATTTGTATGGATGTATCATTCCTGTATCTGAAGTTAGGAATATTGACTATGTAACAATTACAACTGTGTGTACTTGGGGAACGCCCCCCAGACAGTATGCAATCAGCCTGGATGGGCCATTAGGAAGGCCAATGGGACTTTGAAGATACTAATCTCCCTCCTTCCTGAGAAATTTCCTGGGATGCTGCGTTGAAACTGCAGGGTCATGTGATCATGTTACCTGGTACAGGATACCATCTTGAAATGCTGATACTTTTCCATGGGAAGGGGATGGGGGTCAAAAATGGGGAACAAAGGATTCTATGCAAAGGATATGCAAATCCTATTTAAGGCTGGGGAGTGAGTTAATCTGGGCTCTTCTCCACTGCCTCCCCACCCAAGAAGGAACACTGCTGAAAACACCTGAAGAAACAAATGAACTAAGCTGTGGGGAGGGAGCGGCAGGGGCTAAGCCTAGGCGAGAAAGGTCAGCCTGTAAAAGGAATCCCTGGAGATTTATGCTGTAAGCAGTGCAGTTTACCTTCAAGAAACTCTGTAACCTGCTTGAAACAACATTTAGGGTGAGAAGTTATTTGTAGTCAGTAAAAAATTTACCTTTTGTAGTTAATAAACTTGTTGTTTATTCTAAAACACAGTTTATGCAATTCATAACTGGGGGGAGGGAGGGAAAGCTGTGCATATCTTCCTCCACATTGAGGGAGGGAGCGAATTTCACGAGCTTACACTGTATACAGGGACGTCTTTAGGCATACGCTGCATACACACATACATACCATGAAATCTGGGGCACCAAATTGCCCCAAATTTCATGGTGCCCTAGGCAGCTGCGTGCTGCATATGCGACAGCATCAGCCCCAGCGACCAGCCCTATCCCTCGGCCGGCCCCGCCTGCAAGGGGCAGGGCCATCCCTAAGGGGGTGTGGGGCCCCGGACAACTCCCTCCGCCCTGCCTTTTACCCTTCCCTCTGCCCCGCCCCCATTCCACCTCTTCCCCCAGCGACCCCGCACTCACCGGCAGCGGCAGGAAGTGGAGGGCATCCAAATGGCTAGGGATGGCCCTGACTGTATCGATCTCTATATCGCACAAGACAATATAATTTTGGGTTTACACTCCAGAGGGTGTGTGCACCAGAGTGCTGGGCAATTCCCCCAGCTGAATTTTCCCACGCAGCTGATTGCAGACTGTGTGATTCTGCAGCTGGGCGTGTCCCTACCTCTGCGTGTGCACAGCAGGACAGGGTGAGGGAGCCCAGGCTGGTTGAACGGGTGGGTTCAGTGGGACCCAGGAAAGGGGGGTCCAACCCGTCAATGCTTTTGGAAGGTATTGCAAAAATCAGTTATTTGACATCTGTATTTCAGTATCAGATAAAATCTAATCTTTGCATCTGATTCAAAGCTCATTGAAGTCAATGGAAAGATTCTCACCGAGTTAAATAGACTTTTGATCAGGCAATTAATTATGTATTGATTGGTACCTACAATGCTGTGTTAAGGAGTCTCAAAGGGTTGTTCCATCATTTGTGAAATCTGAATGTTTCCAAATGGAGAAAAAAAGAGGGCTCTCTGAGTACATCCATACAAAAGGATGATGCTTTCATACTTTTAAATAGCATACCACAGGCATCTTAAATTCTTCTATATTTTTTTCTCCTCTTGAGGAGTATGTATTTGTTTCTATCATCTGTTCTCTACTTTTCTGTGAGAGAGCATGAAGCAAATAAGTGAATTCCATTATACTGTTAAAATA